AATAGGCACTAGTTCTTTTCTGAACGTTCATTAAAATTCATTTGTAAATCCATCTGGTCCTGGCTTTTACTTTGGGGGAGGGTTTTGATTACTTCTTCAGTTCTCTTGCTTGTAATTAGTCTGTTTAGTTGTTCTATTTCTTCTTTATCTAGCTTTGGGTGCTTTATAGAGTTGTAGGAATTTGTCCATTTCTGCTAAATTGTCCAACTTATTTGCATATAGTTGCTGATAGTATTCTCTGATTATTCTTTTGATTTCTGCTGGATCTGTTGTGATTTCTCCTCTTTCATTTATGATTCTGTTTATTTGTGCTTTCTCTTATTTTTTCTTTGTGAGCCTGGCTAGTGGCATATCTTGTTTATTTTTTCAAAGAACTAACTTTGGTTTCATTGACTTTTTTGGACTGTTTTTCTAACATCCATTTCATTTATTTCTGATTTGATGTTTATTATTTTCTGTCTTCTACTGGCTTTTGGGTTATTTTGTTGTTCTTTTTCCAGTTCTAAAGGTAGAACATTAGGTTGTTTCTTTGAGTTATTTCTTGTTTCTTTATGTGGGCCTGTAATGCTATATATTTTCCTCTTATAACTGCTTTTAATGTGTCCCATAAGTTTTGGACATTTGTGTCGTTGTTGTCGTTCTTCTCCAGGTATTTTTTAATTTCTTATTTGATTTCCTTATTGATCCAGCGGTCCTCCAGCAGTGAGGGTTTCAGTCTCCACGTGGTAGGTGGGTTTCTTGTCTTCCTCATATGGTTTATTTCTAGTTTGATTCCTTCATGCTCAGAGGAAAAAGTTGGTATGATTTTGATCTTAGTGTATCTATTGGTATTTATCTTATGGTTCAGTATGTGGTCAGTCTTAGAGAATGATCCATGTGGGCTTGAGAAAAAATGTGTACTTAGATTTTTTTGGGTGCAGTATTCTATAGATGTCTGTTAGACCCTTGTTCATGGCTTTAGTGTCTTTGCTTATTTTTTGTCTTGTTGATCTGTTCATTGTTGAGAGTGGTGTGTTGAAGTCTCCTACTCTGTGTGTATTTTCTCTGATATACGTTTTCATAGATGACAGTAGTTTCCTGATATATTTTGGTGCTTCTTCATTTGGTTTATATATGTTGATGATTGTTATGTCTTCTTCTTGTATTGTCTGCTTAATCATAATGTAGTGGCTTTCTGTGTCTCTTTCAACCTTTTTTAGTTTGAAGTCTATTTTATCTAATGTAAGTATAGCTGTTCCTGCCTTCTTTTTTGGTCCATTTGCTTGTAGAACTATTTTCCATCCTTTTATTTTCAATCTGTTTTTATCTTTTGCAATTAGATGTGTTTCCTGCAGACAGCAGAACGTTGAGATGTTTTTATCCATCCTGCAACTCTGTGTCTTTTTATTGATGAGTTTAAGCCATTTGCATTTAGAGATAATATTGATATGCTGGCACCTACATTTGCCATTTTGGTCGTTTTGTATTTTTGTTCTTTGTTTTGAACTGTTCTTGTTTATTCTTCTGTTGGATTTGGTTTGAGGGCTTCTTGTAGCATTTTTGGAGTGGGGGTTTAGTCTTGACAGAATTGTGGAGTTTCTGTCTGAAAATGTCCATATTCTTTCTTCATAGAGGAAGGAGAGCTTCTCAGGATAGCGTATTCTTGGTTGGCATTTAATGCTTTGGAGTTTGTTGAGTATGTCCCTCCACTCTCTTCTTGTCCATAGTGTTTCTTCAGAGAAGTCTGATGTCATCCAGATTGGTTTCCCTTTATAGATTGTTTCTTCCCTCTTGTCATTCTCATTATCTTTTCCTTGTCTTATATTCTTGGTAGTTTTACCATGATGTTTCCTGCTGTATTTCTCCTGTCGTCATGGTAGTTTGGTGTTCTTCTTGCTTCTTGGATATCTGCTTTCATCTCCTTCATATTAAGGAAGTTCTCTTCTATTATTTCTGTGTATATTTCCTCGATTCCTTGGCCTTTCTCTTCACCTTCCGGGATACCGGTAACTCTGATATTTCCTTTCCTAATGGTGTCAGATAGCTCTTGAAGTGTTTCTTCATTCCTTTTCCTTTTTATTTCTCTTTCTGTTTTAATTCTCATTATTTCTGCGTCTTCGAGGGAGCTGATTTCGTTCTTCCATTTCATCTATTCTATTTTCATTTCCCAGCATTCTTTATCTCCTGTAGTGGCCTTTTCATCTCCTGCTTTTCTTTTTTTAATGTCTCATTTTCTTTCTTCAGTTCGTTGATTGCTTGTCACATATCATTTTTTCTTTTTCATTTCTTTCATTCATTTGCATTCTTGAACTCCTTGATGGCTTGCCTCATTTCATTTTTTCCCTTCTCATCTTCTTTTAGTTGTTTATCATGATGAACCTGAATTCTCTATCTGGTAGGCTGAGCAGTTCTTATATTTCCTTGGTGGTTTCTGCTGACTGATATTTTTGTAGTGAATTTTCCCCCTGTGGTCTTGCTTGAATATTTGTTTGTCTTCTTTTCCCTGTCATGTATTTTCTAATATTTTCTATTCGTTGAGACATGGTGTTGCTGTTATTGACCGGCATTCTTTCTGGATGTTCTTTCTGGAATGGCAGAGTGACTTCCAGACTCTTCAGTTGTGGAGGGTATTCTGAGCCTTGTTTTGTTTCAGTATCTCCTGTTTTTCCAGCCTCTACTGTGTGAAATTATGTCTGTCATCTCTGCCAATGATAATCAGGGGTCTCTTGTGGTGTTCAGCTTCTTCTGGTAACTCGTTGAGTCCTTGTCTCTGGAAGGTACCTGTTGACCTTTGTAGCCTTCTGATATCCAGGGTTCCCTCTTTGCTTGGATGCAGCCAGGGGGGTGGGGTACATGAGGAGTTTTGCAGCTGGGCCTGTGGTTGAGCCTGTCACTGATTTTGTTTATTTTCTGAGCACTGTGAACCTTGCAAGGCAGTGCCTTACTGGCTCACAAGTCTTCCGGCAACTGCTGTTCAGTGACACCTTGAGTCCTAATTCTGCACACCCTCCAGTTATGCAGGCTGTCAATCCTCCCTCAAGGTCTCCAGGATTCTTTGTGCCCACTCTGTGCAGTCTCCTCCTAAGCAATCTTTCCCTACCACTTGGGGGAGTGTTAATGGGCCTGTTTTTGATTCAGTCTAACCGTTTCTGTCCCACTTTTGTCTCAGGGGCTTTGTGAACTTCCTGGCCCCACCTTAGTGACTAATGCCAGGAACAAGCCTCCAGGCCTATGCTGTAGGGGTGGGTAAAAGGGTTGTAAGCCTTGCAGCTGTCCCAGTCATGGGATCACCAGATTTTCCTCTCCACCTCCCGGACTCTGTGTGCCCACTTGTGCAGTCTTTTCCCACAGCTTGGGTTCCACTCACCCAGCCAAGTGAGCAGGAAGCCTCCATCAGCCGCACTGGAGTCTGGGGGCTCCCGGATGGGAGTTGCAGTTCCATTTATCCTGTCTGTGGCGCTTGTGGATAGGAGTTCCCTTATCGGAACATCCCAATTGCCAATTCTTCCTAAGTTATCTTCCTTCCAGTGAGTCCTGGGTATTCTCATTTGGGTTGAAACTCGTAGCATGTAAGTCTATAATTTGTTTTTATATATTTCTGTGCGAGCTTGGAGGAGCTTTCAGCGTCTTTACTCTGCCGCCATCTTGCCTGTTCCTGAGCTCGAGCAAAGCACTTTTATGGAATAAAAAGTTAGCCATTGGAAGCATGCAAGAAGATGGCATCCCAGTTGGAGAGAATAACAAGTAGAAAGTCTTAGCTAGAAACAAAATTGGTCATAGGAGAAACCAAAAGTAAAGATATTTTGCACTAAGGTCAGTGCAGGATCACAGAAGATCTTCTAGGTCAAGCAAGAAAAAGCTGGATTTTATTTTGAGTTCTCTGAGAACGAGATCATGTATAGTTAATTCATGTTTAGATTTATTCCTAATGCGTGGCATATAATAAGTACCTAATAACTTGAAATTTGTAAATGTATGAGTTATATATACAGGGAAGACTACAAATTACCATCATCTTCAAATTCACTTTGAATGAAAAACCAAGACACAATTAGATGATCTGAAACCTCCTCATGTTATTAATATATTTATGTGTAAAAATCAGCTAAATATTAAAATATAAAAATGATGGTTAATACGATTCTGGGTATATGAAAGCATTTGGTGCTTTGAATGTACAAAGTTTTATGTTGTCATAAATCTCACTTTATTTTAAAATGTAGAAAGGAAATACTGGGACTCATTGATAACTAAGTAATTAGTGTTTTTTTCAAAGATGATTTAGCAATGCTCTGGCTCTAATTTTCTGTAGTTTCACAATAAAAAGTTAGAAATTTAGTTTGTGTGTGTGTGTGTGTGTGTGTATTTTTTTTTTAAGATTTATTTATTTATTCATGCAGAACTGGGGTACAGGCCAGAGATGCGGAGGGTGAGAGGATTCACCAGAGATAGAGTGGGGAGCAGAACAGGCAGATCTATGAAGTACACTGCTGAGGGGAGCAGCGGGCGGGTCAGGAGAGGTCTGCCACGCCATGTGGTCACCTCCAGGGCAGGCAGGAATCGAACTCATGCGGAAGTGGCTTAAGCTTCTTAGTGCTGTGCTTTAACCTGCTGCGCCACCAGGGAGGGCCCGTGTGTGTGTATTTTTAAGATTTGTTTTCATTTATTTATGCCTGTAAGAGCTAGGGATTGGGCCAGAAGTGTGGGGTGTGTGAGGATTCATCAGAGACAGAGTGGGGAGCAGAAAAAGCATATTGACTGGCATACGCTGTTGAAGGGAGCAGCTGGTGAGACAGGAGAGGTCTGCTGTGCTATGTGGGTCAGTTCCCTGGCCGGGGATCAAACTCATGTCACAGTGGCTGGTGGTAGATTGATAGTTCTGAGACTTTAACTACTGCACCACAAGGGTTTAATTGTGACAATAATAACCATTGTTCTAACCTCTACTTCATGGGCTCAAGTATGTTGAATCTCTTCCTATTTGAAGCTCGTTTTTAATTATTTGCTTGGTTTTGTTGTAGCCTCGAGCTGTGGCGGGCTTTCGAGGAACAGTTCGTTATGCATCAATCAATGCTCATCGGAACAGGGTAGGTATTTGAACTAGAGTCTTAATCTGTATAAGCATGCTGAGGGATTAAATCAAATTGAATTCTTTACATGAAGAGTACACAGGTGTGTGTTCATTTATTTGTCCTTCAAAAGAAGTTTTTCCACAGTTAATTCTCTTACCTCTTTTTTAAATGTTTTTTTCAATTACAAATTTGCCAATTCTTGTTGAAAAATCATCTTTCAGAACACCATTAAGCAAATCTGTAACTTGAAAGCAAAAAAAAAAGCACAGGTGTGGAATGTCTTGGGAACAAAGAAAAAGGCATCAGTAATACAAATTGTGGCAAGGGCTTCAGTGGATAATAGAAAAATAAAAAATAAAATTGGGGTCCTCCCTAGTGGCACAAGGAATTGAAGTGCAACACTATGAGGCTGTCTGCAGCCACTGCAGCATGAATTCGATCCCCAGCCAGGAACCTGACCCTTATGGTGAGGCAGACCTTTTCTGACCTGCCTGCTACTCCCCTCAGCAGTGTATTTTAGTACATCTGCCTGTTCTGCTCCCCACTCTGACTCTGGTGAAATCCCTTATCCCCCAACACGCATACCTCTGGCCTGTACCCCAGTTCTTATATACATAAATAAATAAATATTTTTTAAAAATTAGATTTGCCAGTAAAGATAATTGTTAAGAGTGTACATGTGTCTATGAGGAATCTTCTGTCCTCATTTTAGATGTAGTAAGCATTAATGAATTTAATGTAAAATTTTAAAGAAGTAAAACATCTCTGTTTTCATTCAAGAAGTTATTGGGAAATATTATACCATTAATACCTAGTGAAATGTAAGGGTCTTTATTTTGTCATTAATCTGTGATGTCTCTTTTCTATTAAAGCATTTGTTGTGTCATGAAATTTAAATTTTTAAAGCAACTTAAAAATTTTTATCTTCTTAAATTATACTTTTCAGCTCAATTTTAAACTTTCTGTAATATTTTGCTGTGCTGTGATACTTTTTTCTCACCTAGAACCTTAACTGTGAGCATTTCAGATATTTTATGGATTCTCAGACCTTGAACTCTTTCTTAACTAAGAAATCTAACATGTGATTGATACCTAGATAAAATAAAGAGAAATATTTTCTTGATTTGTATTTCCTTATTTCTGCTCTTCAAAGCCAAAATTGCTTTAATGAAAAATTGACCTATGTTAAATATAATAGAAGGAGTATGCTGTGGTCTTACATCCTTCTAATGATGTAAGATTATAATTTGAAAATAGGAAAAAAATTTTATCAGTCAGTAGCACTCACTAAGGATTTTAACTCATTGGCTTTATTCAGTGTTGCTTTATTTTTGGCATCTAGTCATCTATTATATTGTGAAGGGAAAGTACTCTTTATTTTCCAAATGTATTCTTAGACATTTTTAGAAGAACTAGGCTTTCTAATTAGTTCCGTTAAAGACTTAAATCAGCATTGCAGTCTTTGAAATAAGACATTTTTTTTGAGATAAGTATAAACATTTTCAGAGATCATAAAAGCTATACAAATGTTTTCATAATAACTACTAGAAAGAGATTATATATTTTCATTTTAAAAGTAGAATTTATTTGAAGAGTTTGTTCAAGAAAACTCCTTATCATAGAATCCTCTGACAAGCCGATTATTATTTCTTATTCATGGAACCTTTGTAGGTAAATTTGATAGTTTAACAGAGTACTTTTTAATCTTTATTTTCTACTCCCAATACATCTGTAGACTGCTTTACACAGTAACATAGCATCATAATGATTGTCAGTTTATGTGGTGACATAGGACTACAGCTAGTAGAACCTTCAGAAGTTCTCTAAGATTTCCCAAATAATCCTTTCTTAAATACTCTGCAACCCTGATTTGGTAATTCCTAAAAATAATTTACTCCATTTCCATTATTTTTGTACCTTGATCTTGTAACTTTTAACATGAATAATTCCCAAATAATGCAATTAATTTTCAAAATATTTGAAGTCTGTTCATTTTATGTTAAATTGTTTACTTTCTATTTATCTTTCCTTGATTACTTTCATTATTTTCTCTTTGTCTTTGGTATCCTGTTGGCATTCAGTTGTGCTTAAATGGATTTCATTATATTTATTCTGTTTGGGATTTGTTCTACTTCCTAATTCTGATGTTCATGTCATTCATGGTTCCTGGAAGATTTTCATACATAGTTTCATTAAATATTGCTGTTATGCCGCTATCTCAATATGCGTTTTTGTTTTTGTTTTTGTTTTTGTTTTTCCAATCTCCATGAAATGTATGTTAGACTTTGTTCTGTCTGCCAGGTATCTTAAAGTCACTCTTAGACTTTTTTTGACTCTTTGTGTCTGTTGTATTCCGGGTAATTTCCTCAGCTCGGTCTTGCAGTTCATTAGTTCTTTTCTTTGTGTTGTGTTTGACTTTTTAAACTGTTCATTGAGTTTTTAGTTTCTATAATTTTCCTTTTTATTTCTAGGTCCTCTTTCTTTTCATTTTCCAAATTTATTTATTTATTTATTTTTGACTAGAGTGTGGTCAAAGAATTCTGTTATAACAATAAAAAAATCCTTATATTCTTTATCATTATTTCATTTCTGAAACTCTTGGTTATCTAATTCTTTTCTTTATAGTTTCTCTTGTTAACTTATTGTAGCCTGCTTCCTTATATAACTTTTCAATATTGAATAATGAGCTTATATTTGGTGGGACTTTTTCTGTAAGGCTTCTGTGAAGCCTGATTTTAAGTATGCTTTTATCGCAAGAGAATTTTCATTTTATTTCATTTCTGTAGGATATGATCACAGAGAAAGCACTTAAAACTGGTTTCTGGGCTTTGCTTCCACAGGCCACACAAGTGGTATAAATTTAAACTCCAGATATGGATGAGGGACGAGCCTATTGGAAATCCTCAGAAAACAAAACAAAAAACTTAACTACTTTGTCTCTCTGATGGTGGCTAAATTTTACAGAGAAAGTGTTATTGCAGAATCATATATACACCAAATAACCCTTTGAAATTCCTAGCTTTATGGAAAAGGTGGAAAGTGAGAGATGTAAGTGTCTTTAGTTCTAACTTCTGTCCTGTATAGACTCACTGCTTTTAAACCTGTTCACTCCCTGATTGATAAAACCTGAAACAAAAGTTCCCAAACAGCCATTGTCACAGCCTCAGCAGCAACTTGCTTACTTGCTTTCTTACTTTGGTTCATTGGATTTCCTTCTTTTAATTTGTGGTTAAAAAAAAATGACATTAAGCTTACCATCTTAAATGTACAATTCAATAGTGTTAACATTGTTCACATTGTGTAAGAAATTTCTAAAACGTATCTTTTCAATACTGAAATTGTGTACACTAAACATTAACTCTTTCAACCTCTTCCTCTAGCCCATGACAATCACCTTTCCTCCTTAACTCATTTGTTAATATTATGTTAATTATTTCCAGTATTTCTGAGTTTTGGGGTGTTCCTATATCAAAGTTTTCTAATATATCGGTTCTGCTATATAAATTGCTAAAGCTGTATAGTTTTTATAGATATGTTTACCAGGTAATTTGTTGAAAAATAATTACATTTTTTAGTCATAGTAAGTGGAAACTCAATGGTTAGGTCTTAGTATAGTCCACTCACAAGGAGTAGTAATGTAATATGACTGAATTCTGTTTCGCTTATGAAGGAAATGGGAAGACATGATGACCTTTGGTCCTTATTCTACATGTTGGTGGAATTTGTGGTTGGTCAGCTACCTTGGAGAAAAATAAAGGACAAGGTAATTTTAGAAATGGAAATATAGGGGAAAAGATAAAAAATTTCTCCTGTGTAGTCATTTGTTAAGAATAATTTACGTATGAGAAATATACTTACACTTAAAAAAATATACATTCACGGACCCTCCCTGGTGGCACAGCGGGTTAAAGCACAGCACTAAGAAGCTAAAGTCACTTCAGCATGATTTTGATCTCCATCCCAGAGGTGACCAACATGGCATGGCAGACCTTTCCTGGCCACCCGCCCGCTGCCTCCCTCAACAGTGTACTTTGTTGGTCTGCCTGTTCTGCTCCCCATTCTGTCTCTCATGAATCCTCTCACCGCCCCTGGACCTCTGGCCTGTACCCCCAGTTCTGTATGCATAAACAAAATAAATCTAAAAAATACATATACACACATTCACTTTTACTATGTCCCAATATGTACATTTTTCTCTGTGTTAGTAGAGATCAAAATTAATGTTACTACTTTTTCTAGGTACATGGAGAATAGATACAAAGTACAATCATTGTTTTTGACTTTATTTCCAGTATTCCCTCTTAGCTTTATTTTCACTGTTCTTTCAACTTTTAATAAATTGATTATGGTTTTAGTGTTTGTTGCAGTACATTGTTTGATTCAAAAATTAAAAATGTGGTAGTAGATCCCTCCCTGCTGGTGCAATGCATTAAAGAGTGGCACTATGAAGCTACTGGCAGCCACTGCAGCACAAATTCAGTTCCCAGCCAGGGAAGGTGACCCACATGACTCGGCAGACCTTTCTTGACCTGCCAGCTGCTTCCCTCAGCAATGAATTTCAGTCAGTTATCTGTTCTGCTCCCTACTCTGTCTCTGGTTAATCCTCTCACCACCACCTGCATCTATGGCCTGTGCCCCAGTTCTTATATGCATGCATCAGTAAATCTTTTTAAACATTTTAAAAAATGTGGTAGTAAAGAAAAGCAGTCAGATTTAACATCAACTCTTTTAATTAGGAGCCTCTCAATTCTTTGGTGCAAAACTCTTACCCAGCTGGTTTTATATTATAGTACTCCAACCCCTCTAATGCAGTGTGTATTAAGCTGTTGTATAAGACCTCAGCTTTTGCTTTATGCTTAATTACTTAATTAATCACTATCTCATGCCCTATTATATACTGGTGAGATGCTCTTAATATGTCCCTGCCAAGAGAAGTTTACTTTGTTTCCTTTTATCTTTACATCCCAGGAGCAAGTAGGCTCTATTAAGGAGAGATATGATCACCGGCTTATGTTGAAACATCTCCCTCCAGAGTTTAGTGTCTTTCTGGATCACATCTCCTCTTTGGATTATTTTACCAAACCAGACTACCAGGTGAGTAGTCTTTGTGAATTCTGTGCATTAATTCTCTTTTGCATAGCCTTTGGTTTCATTCATTGTATTTTTGAGGGTGTTTTAAATGAATATGGAGTGTCCCTAGAATGATACTATTTTAGTATGTTCTGAGAAATATGGTGAAATTAACAAAGATGAAGTATCATTGTGTATGTGTATGTTTCCTCCCTTCTACATGAACATGCTTCATTAAAGTTTTAGATCTATTCATCATGTGATAGATTGTTCTTTCCTGCTATGATTCATCTGGTCTGTAGAACTAATGATAGTTCATTTGTGTAAGTCCTGTAGCTAAATGTTGACCCAAAGGAAATGTCCAGCTAGCTAATGTATCTGTCAAGGGTTTAAGGGCAGTATAGCATATGTTAAAATGTTTAAGACAACAGTCAATCGAGATTATTGGCTCCACTTTGTCTGTGTTCAGTGAATCATTTCCTTAGTGCATCAGTTAATGGGTCTTTTAAGGATTGAATAGACTTACCACAAATTGCATCCCTAACTCCTGTCAGCTATAATTCAGAAGCTTCTGTTCTTAGGAAGAACTTGGTCAAAGCTTAATGTAAAATAACAACTACCACTGAAAATACAAATAAACACAAATACAATGATTAACAATATTTATGTATCATTTTTATCTCTAAAGTGCAATATTGCCTGTTAATGGAAGTATTACTTTCCAAAGTGTTGTCAGTGTTGCCCAATCAAAAGGCTATCTATAGCATAGCAGTCATATTTGCATATAATAATTACTTCTCTGAAATTGCAGGTTTTGTATAAGACATAAACAGGATTTTAAAAAGACAGGTAACATACAGCTTTGGATCCTCAGAGATGTTAATGGGAGAGCTTACTGTCTTTTCTCTCTTGTTCTTATATAGCCTAACACATGAAGGAAATACGTTGTATGTAAATTGCTTTGGAATGTTTTCTTATATTTACATCTTACATATATTTCCTGAAATACAGAGTCCATGCTACTTGAAACAAATAAAATTATACCTGTAAGACCAGATTCAAGAAGAGCTAGAATATATTCCAGCTTTCCTTTGGCTTTTTTTTTTTTTAAATCATATTCTCTGCTTAGTTATGTCTGCAATCTGAAGATTCATATTTACCAGCTGACGTTTGAAACTTAGACCTACAATTACTTTAATGTAATGAATTACTGTTCTCAAGTTTTTTATTTGGACATTTTCTTAGAGGATTCTCTGTGTTTCTGTCACATGATAACAAAAGAAAATAGAGTAATTTTCTTATTTTTGGAAAAGAGAGGACAGGAAAAATACTTTCTTTGTTTCACAGGGTCTGTGAATAATTTGTTTTTTCTTGCTCTTTTATCTTTCATAAGCAGTAAGGGGGCAGAAGACAAGATGGTGGGGGAGAAGGGTAATTAGGAAAAAGATGTTGATGTGAATGACTAGTTGGTGTAAGTCACTGGTACCAGTACACCATCAAGTCCAAAAAGGTCTGAACTTTATAGCTTGTGTTTCTTGCTTTTCTCACAGAGCCCTAGTACAGTCTTTATTTTGAGAAAAATTACTCTATAAGATTCAGAATGCTCTTATTAAAACTTAATGTTGTCCATATGGTTAACTTTGCAGTTTGGAATTCATACACCTAAGTTGAGTTTAATTACCAAAATTTCAAAATTCAAATTTTAAAATTTTAAATTCCTCATTGAGTAATCAGTGTAATTAAAATCAATAAACTTCAATCAGTAACAAGTAAAAAACAAATCAAAACTCAATATTTGGTGTAACTGTTTCCCTAGTTACATCAAAAGTCCAGTAACTTATGTCTCAGTTTGGCTAATTCTGAGTAAGACATAAGTGAATGTATTTTATTATCAAAGTATTAAATGATGCACTTTCACTTTGAATGTCTATATATTATAAATCTTTAAAAATTACTATTTTTTTTAACCACAGAACATTATTAGCTTAACAAGTTGCACATGGCCAATACCTCATTTAGTATCCTGATGTGCTACTGCTCACTTTGACCTAGAGAAGAGCTTTTATGTTCTCTGCCAGTGATCTTTTGTGTTTCTGTTAGAGTAAAGGCTGACTTGTTCTTGCAAAATGCCATGATGTCTTGGGAAAATATCAAAGTTTATCAGTATGTAGTATTGTATTTATGTATAAGATGTCTCCCTGGTTGACTCTAAAGTTCTGAAGGCACAACTATACCTTACTTTATTTTTTTATTGAGGTATCATTAATTTATAACACTGTGAATCATTAATTTACAACATGATTTAGATGTAGGTTCATACCACTTCAGATAACTGTTTACCACATTATACCCACCACCAAGTCTCCATTTATCCCACACTATCCTGGCATTATACTTGACTAAATTTTCTTTTTCTTTTTTTTTTCCCTGCAAATTATGTTTATTGAAGTAAAGTAGGTTTACAACTTTGTACCTGCTCTGGAGGTTATAGGTGCAAACCTCCAACACCTTGCCCACCACCAATGTCCTAACAGTTCTCCACCTTGTCCCAATGGGCCCTTTCTCACTCATAACCTGTCACCCTCCTCCTCTGCTTGCCTCAGTTTTGTAGCTAGATGTTAAATAATTTATTATTGATTTGGCTTTGATTGATCCTTTATTATGTTTGTCTACATTCCACCTATAAGTGACACCATCCTGTATCTGTCTTTGTCTTTCTGACTTACTTTGTTAACACTATCCTCTCAGTTCCATCCATGTCAGAAGTGTATATACATGTGTACATGTATACCATGTATTTCTGATCTACTCCTCTGTCCTTAAGCATTTCTGACACCTAAACTTTTTGCAAGTTTTTTTTAAAGATGTATTTATTTATGCATACAGAGCTGGGGTACAGGTCAGAAGTGCAGAGGCAGTGAGAGGATTCACCAGAAACAGAGTGGGGACCAGAATAGGCCGACTGGCAAAGTACACTGCTGAGGGGAGCAGCAGACGGGTCAGGAGAGGTCTGCCATGCCATGTGGATCACTGCCGGGGTGAAGTGCTTGTGCTGAAGTGGCTTTAGTTTCTTAGTGCTGTGCTTTAACCCGCTGCAATTTTTAACAAATTTTTAACAAATGTTAATTAAGTTGAATCAAATCTTAGTTTGCCCAGTAGTCTCCTCCTCACAAGATATAGGGAAAATCTGTGAGTAATGCATAAGTACTTTAAAACTAAAGGTAAAGTTATCAGACTGTAGCCAGTATTAAAGCAGATATCTTATTATGAATATTGTTTTTATTCTTACATTCTGAAAGAGTGTTGGCAATGATAGAAACAAAAAAATGCTGGACCTTGAATCTCCTTGTGTGATAGTATTGCACACACACACAAAGTTATGAAATTGTATAGGCTCTGAATTGTAAGAGTCATTTTCTTGGTTTTGATATTGTACTCTAGCAGTTTAAAGGTAACACTTTTGAACAGCTAAGCAAAGAAGACTTCTCTGTATTGTTCTTGCTACTTCCTATGAATCTTTGTCTCTAATTAAAAGTAAAAAAAGTATTTGACCAACATTTCCAGAAATGTACGTGGAGTGATAAAAATCATTCAGTGTTGTTGTGGATATCTTGTAGTTTAAATAAGTAGTTTTAACGTGTCTTGAGAAAGAAAAATATCTCTAAGGGATACCTAGGAAAATCTTGAATTCCACCACAGTATCCCACAGTAATCTATCTGTGGTAATAATATCACCATTTAACAGGAAACGAAGATAGCAACATTAGATTAGCTGAAGAAGACCCCTGTGGTGCCTTTACACACGTTGTTACAGTGATGACATATAGTAATGTCGCAATAATACTTGGGGAATATTATTATCCTTTTCTTACTAGAAACTTATTTGAGACATGCTGCCTGGGAAAACTGGTAGTGCTAGAGGAGGCATCTGAGCCTATGTCTCACTCAGGAGGCCCACATTTTTCACTTTACCATCCTGCCTTCCTGAAAGAGGTGGCTACAAATACAGTAAGCACCTAATAAAAGTGCAGTGAAAGAGCTAAAAAGTTATATGAATAAATATAAATAAATATCAGTAGTAGGATCACATGATCTTGATATAAGAGCACAAAAGACACCTTTACTAGTGTGTTCACGTTTTGTTAAGCATATCGAGAACACTAATGAAACACATAAATATACACTCTGCTGGTGAGCCTGAAACTGAACTGTGTGTATATTAGCAAGCTGCACGTCACTAAAGTTAGAAGATACAAGGATATCCAGAATTGACCAATCTTCATTAATCTTGTTAGTATACTTTCCAGGATTAGGAATTGGATTATTTGAATAGAGATTACAGCAGACTGCAACAGGTTTCCCTGCTTTCAGATCCCCTGATTCTGATAACACTGGAGTTAATTTTTTCAGAAAACATATACTGGTTGCTTGTAAAGTAAACAAAAGATTGAACTAGAGAACACAAAGGAAGACCCTTCTATACAATTATGGGTAAGGAAATGTATTTCTCTAAAATTACCATTTAAGCCAAACCCAATAAGGCCCAATATTGGCTACATAAAGAGCAAAAAATAAGGGAAGAGTGTTAATAGTTCTGATTCAAAAAGGAATAGAAAGAAAATAAATGTGGCCAAAACATAAGGAGATAGAATATTTTGAGATGAGACTAGAAAGAGGCTGAGACCAGATGATACAGAGCCTTTCAGGCCTTTTAGGAGTTTGGGTTTTATTCTGAGTGCAGCAGCGTGCTTTGGAAGTCTTAATAAACAGGAGAATAGTTATCCAGTTTTAAGGGGACTACTTCTGCAGTTTGTAGCATTTATATGAGACAAAGACGAATTAGAGACTCCTTAAAAGGCTACTGGGATAGGGTGAGCTAAGCCTTTGGAAAGAAAGAAATACAAAAAAATACCTGTTCAATACCTCAAAGGTGTAATGGTTTCTCTAGTTTTGGGAGTATAGCTTCACACCTTGATTTGTTCCCACCGCTAAATTCCTCGTGCCGTTCAACACTATGCATGTTT